ATACAGAGTAAAGAGAGCGCTTGGGGGAGCATACGAGCTCGAAACCTTAGAGGGCAAACAAGTACCCCGAGCGTGGAACATCGTCAACTTAAGGCGATACTACCTATAACCACCAAGCGAAGTGGAYAAAATCGCTATCAGAGCCCAAGGGCTAGGATGCCGAGCTAACGAAGTGGTGACAACGAACTAATAAGGACATCGGCATCTCAGAGACAGATCAGGCATATGGTCAGTTCGGCAAATACGGTCAGTTCGGGAGAAAGAAAACAACCAACATTTAACCAAAAGAGATTCCATTCTAAATATGTATGGATGTTTTACATTGGGCCCCAAAGACTCTAAACTCATAATAATCCTAAGAGTCAACTGTTAAACCCTATCATTGGACCCAAAGAAAATTGCAAAATGACAAAAATACCCCTACTATCAAAAAATAAAAAAATACATAAATTTTCATAAAATTCCAATTTTGACTCTTCAGCTCCCGCATCACTCTTAATCCTATCTTAAAGTTCCTAGAAGCATAGGAAACCTTTTTGCCAAGTGAGTAAGCAGTATGGGTTATTGCACACTTTTTTGGTAAGTTCTCGTACATTTATGGGTTTGGACATTCAAATAGTGTATAACCAAGTTGAGAACTTGTTGGATCCGTTAATTGTCGTATATCATTTGGTTTGTTCAACTTTTAACTTTTAAATCCTTCAGTTAGAGTTCCTTAATGTATTCCTCTTCTTTGAGATATTAAAGTCTTTCTGGTTTTCAAGATGAATTATTGAATATTTAATTGATATTGTCATGTCTATGTTAGTAGTAGTTTTCAGATACTGTGAATTATAAAATGGTTTTTAGTGCAAGCAACAGGCAACAGAGAAAAGAAATAAGAAAGAAAACTATAGGCATGGTAGCAACATGTGAAAAGTACTGTGTGCCCTAGCACATATATGTTCAAAAGCATTGAATGCACTAATATGCAACTGCCTGAGTGTCAGTGCAATTATCAAATCCTTTGAGCCAGAGCTGATTTTTGTCCCTAGTGATCAAGCTGTTTCATTAAAGTGCAGCCAGCAAGTAAAGACACTGTCCATACATCCATTTTTCATCACACTGCTAGTGCACTCATCTTCTCACTTGCTTCAAGCTGGATCAACCTTGAGCATTGATGTGTGGTGCTATTGTGCTAATGCACAGCCCTTGGCATTGAATGAGCAGCAAATTTTGTTTATATTATTCTTTCTTCCTTTTTTCAGGTGGCTTGTAGGAAATTGCATATGGAAAATGTGGTTTCTGAGAAATCATTCACAGAGGAGCATGCGACAATAAATATTTCAGTTGATGAATTTATGCAAGAACCAGACTTCCAAATACTCGAAGGAGAATATCACTTGTTAAGAAGAATATCACTTGTATGATTCTATTCTCTAATGAGTTCTGTGGAAAAAATGATTTTCAGTTTTGCAAAAATGGTGTAGATAAAATACCTCTAATTATTAGAAATTTGCAATAGGTCTGGACAGTAGACTGATGCCTTGAAATCAGAGACCCTGCAATGAGTTCTCATGCCCTCTTTTTTTTAGCATCTTTAACCTCTTCAATAGATTGACCCCATGCTTCTTACTGATCATAAAGGCCTTCTCTAAGTTTTCTTTCACACTTTTATGCTTCTTTCACACTGTCTAGGTGTCACCTAGTCAATTTTTTATATAAAAAATTGGTTGATTTTCCCTATTCCTTATTCATTTTATGGCAAATCCTTATATGAAATACGCATTCTTCTTTTTTCAATTTGAATTCTTTTTTCTGGACATTCCGATGGATGGACACTTGTTTTGAGGAGCAAGTGAATTAGGATCACCACCAAAATAAAAAATTGGCTGTCCTCTGTCAATGGATTCCACAGATACATTGGAATTACAAAATTTTTTACTTTGGTGCTCATGGTTCTGGGCTCTTAAAAACAAGATTCCACAAGTTCATTGAAATAATTAAGGTTTAAGGCCACAAGTTCTGGGCTCTTAAAAACAAAATTTTTTAGTTTTTCTTCTCCAACTGGTTCATAGGGGTCGGTTTAAGGCCCTTCTACCCCCTGAACCAGGTCAGACCCCGAAACACCCCCTGTAGGGCTGTATCGGGAAGCCACTGATATGATACGTATCGGCCAATACGGCCCAATACATATCGGAATTTTGAACCTCAGAAGTTACAACTTCTATTTTTTTGATAGATAATTACAACTATTATTTTTTTCTGCTCACAATGTTCAATTTAATTTTGTGAAGCCATTTGATTTCTCTATCACTTTCCCTAACTTGTGGGATCATGAACAGGCAGAAAAGGATTTAAGCTCTGCAATTGAGCTCTCCGAACATGCTATTTTGATTATAAATATTCTGGCCATGGGATCTGTGGAAGAGAAATCCAGTTATGTCGCTTCATTATCTCAAATGATCTTGGTTTGTGTTGAAGAGTTGAAACACGGTGGCCTGATCTGGAAGCAGTCAGTGCAGAAGAATTTACATAAGAAAATACTATCTGAACCACGAGGTATTGTCTAGTACATTGAATGAATGAATTCATTTATTGATAGCTTTAGCTATTGATGTCATTCCTAACACTTCAACAAATAATTCAGGCCAGAGATATATTCTTGCCCTTGGAGAAATTTACAGAGTGGTTGAAATTCTAAGAGCATCAGGAAAGCTTTACAAGCCTTGGATACTTTCTATTCTTGCGGACCCATCTGATATCTTTGCTCTTTTAGAGGAGTGTGTTGCTGTATGGTCAAATTCAGGTCTGGAAGAAGCTCTCAAGTCTCTATCCAATGGACTTGGTTTTGGATGTGACGAAACTACCAAGGCATTGCTAGAATCAATCAAGTCCATTCATGACCTTGATGAAGTGGTCCTGCAAAACCATCTCCTTGCTAAGAAAGAACCAGTTTGTCAGCTGTCAGGATTATCTCTTGTGGCGGTGCCTGGTAAGTGGATCTATATATCATATTTCTTGAAGAAAATCAAAGTCAAGTAAGTTCGCAGCTTGTATGTTGTGCAGGCATCAACACATGCACACAGACTGACGCACATAGATATACATAAAATGAATATATTCCAAGTCAATTGTTTTTTCCCTAAAGATGATTCTGAGTAGATATTGGATTGGCTACTTTATCTTGGTCTGGAAGTGGTTAAATTGAATATTTAGGGTCCTTACCAATGTGATTTTGGCTTATAATACTTACAAGGGAGGACCCACCAAAATATGGTTGGTTTTGCGCCACCATAAATGAAGAGATGGCCTGCTTCCATCTTGTTTTAGAATTTGTAGTTTTCAGATATATGTAAGAACATTCTCACGTTGACACTGTTTACTTTCTTAAATTCACCAGGCATGAAATTTGTGGTGTGGAATGGAGAAAACTACTTTCTGACACTAGCAAACTTATGGGTGAATAGGATATCTCTTGATCTTCCAAAATTACCTAACATACATGTCAGTAAATGAGGAAGTTGGTGAAGAAGTTAATATGGACATATTCAGGAAATTTTGTGACCAATTTGCAATTCAATCAGTGTGGTCACCTTCAACAAGGGGGGTTCACTACAAAAGCTGATTGGAAGGAAACGCATTAAGCAGCTTGGGCTTTCGAGGAACTAAAGAGCCTCTACTAAAATGGAATGTACCTAAAGGTGCAGTTTGGATTCCGGAGGTTGATAGTGGGTGCTCAGCCTTGTAATTTGATCTGTCTAGGTACCCAGTACATTTTCTTTTTCAATCCCTCTGTTAAAAATTGTATCATAGGCTTTGGATGTATTACTATTATATTGTCCTGTTGCATCACTTTTGTATAAAATGACAGTGCTGGTTGCATTCGGGCACCCACATAAACAGATATAGCCATGTACAACTATGATTCCCCAACAAAAAAAAAAAAAAAAAAAGAGGAAAGGGAAAAAGAATTTTAAGAAATGGAACTTGATTGGTTGATTCTCACAAGTCATAAACATTACTGGACTAGTTAACGGTGAACCATCAATTCTGCAATAAAGATTCTATTTCCAGTCTTGTTCTTCACTTTCCAATTGTTGAGCTCTAAATCTCATGGTAAGGTCACCCAGAAATTGTTTGGGCCATGGTGGTAGTCCATTTCTTAATTCATACTGCGAAAAGATGGAATCATGGGAAGCTGGACCAGTGAAATCGAAGCTGAGTAAAACATGCATCTTCCCCATACAAATTCACTTCATTCATAATTTGGATCAAATATAGACCTGCCCTAGTTCAATGACTTCTGACATGCTCCAACATGCTGAGCTACCTCATGAGCAAACTTATTGATGCACTCCCAAAACAAAGGATAAGTGATTAGAAAAATTTGTTACAGGGGAGGTGGGTGAACTTTTTCAAAAATATAGGGGCTATTGGTGCAATTTATCCTGATATCAGTTTTTATTTCATTATCGTATAAATATAATGTTTTGGTTATTTTCATTTAATTTGTTAAAGGCATCCGGTCTTCGATTGGGAAGAGTGAAAATAGAGTGTAAATGCAAATACGTAGAGTGAACAACTTTGTGTCCATGCAAATGCAAAGTTGGTTTAATTTTACATTGAACAACTTTGTGTGCAAAAGGTTCCATCTATTTTTTGGATGCAAATTTTGCTCTCATTTTGAGAACATGTCTTAGAATCTGTTTTTTATTGTTTTTACTAGCGGGGCCCCATGCGAGTAAAATTGTGATGTTCAAATGGATAAAGGAAAGGGATCAAAATGAAATATAAACCTGTGTAATGTATTGGCTTATGAGAAATTTCAATCATACTGTTAATTAATAAATTCAGTATTTTAATAAATACTTTTAATTAATTAATAATATTATAATTATTAAAAATACTGTATTAATTAAAAGTAGATTTAATAAATTATAACTTACATTATATTAATTAATAAATCCATTATTTTTAATAAATACGATTAATAATGTTAATTAGTAAAAATACTGTTAATTATTAAAAATATTGTAATTATTATTAGGGAAAATTCCTAATCAGTACCCTGTACTTTGGCTTGAGTGACAATTTGGTCCCCGAACTTTCAAAATGTGACAATCCATTACCCGAACTTTCAAAATGTGACAATCCAGTACCTGTCATTAAACAATCCGCTAATCAGCCATTAAGCGACATTTGAAAAGTAAAAAGTGCCCTAAGAATGCCATCTAATTCTCTTTATCAACCATCCAAGCATTGACAATAAAATGAACAATCCCAAATTCTAGATTTTTCTAAATATTCACCAACTTTTTTGAATAGAAGAAGATAGGATTTGGGACTCTTCAATTTTTTGTCAACGTTTAGATGGTTGATAAAGAGAATTAGATGGCATTCAAAGGGCATTTTTGACTTTTCAAATGTCACTTAACAGCTGATTAACGAACTGGTTAACGACAAGTACTTGATTGTCACATTTTGAAAGTTCAAGTACTAGATTATCACATTTTAAAGTTTGGGGACCAAATTGCCACTCAAGCCAAAGTATAGGGTACTGATCGGGAATTTTCCCTTATTATTAATATTGTAAATTTTAAAATACAATAATTATTGTTGCTACTCCCTCTCTCTCTCTCTATTCTCTCTCTTAAATGTCATTTTTAAGTGCATTAATAGCATGCATTAAAATAAGAGGCCTTGCAAAACCCAAATGTCTATCTCTAATAGTGTGTGCAACTTTATTAATCTAATCAATATAAGTAATGATTACTTTTTTATATTTTTAAAACAAAAGAAAATAGGAACAATGCAACAAATTGAGAAAATAGATAAATAACTTTTCTCAAAAAGTAATTTTAATGATTTTATTTTTTAGCTTTTGGTAATTTATCATATTTATTAGAAATCATGTTAATCAATTTTTGGTAATTTCTTGGATAATTTTTGGTAGTTATGACAAATTTATTGGTACTTTATTTTTGGTTATTTTTTGGCTAATTTCTGTTCATTAAATGTAAATTTCTGTTATTTATAGCTTAAATTATATTTAAATAAATAAATTAAATATAATTACTTTTAATTACAATTTAAAATTTAATTATAGTACTTACATTTTCAAATATAATTTAAATATTAATACAATTTAAATTATAAATTACATTAGTTAACAATTTAAAATGAATTAATAAAAAAATATTAATATTTTTAAATAAATACAGTATTTTAATATTTAATTAATAATATTGTAATTAACAATACTACAATTATTGAAAATACTATAAAATACGATTATTTATTAATATTATAATTATTAAAAATAGGGAAATTGTCTAAAACTCACCATGAGTTTTCAACATTTCTCTTAAACTCATCACAACTTTTCAAAATGTCTAAAACTCACCCTGTTAGTAAATTTTTATTTTCCAAAACTCACCTTGCGTTAGTGCACCGTTAATGCTTCTTAACAGAGGTGTCCATATCAGCATAAATAATAATTTTCATGACCAAATTACCCTTGGATGGTGAGTTAGAGGAAAAATGGTCTTTTATAGTTTTCAATTTTCTTGTTTTTTTTTTTGCATTTTTAGTGTTTTGTTATAATTTCTATTTTTTTACATTTTTTTATATTTTCTACAATCTATAAAATTTTGGTGTTTTTTCTACAATTTTTATTTTCTGATTTTGTTTTTCAATTTCTATAGTTTCTATAATTTGAAAATAATTTTTTATTTTGTTTGCAATTTCTATATATTTTTATATTTTTTGTAATTTCTATGTTTTTATGTATTTTATATTTGAAAATATTTTTTTGAATTTTTTCCTTTTTTCATGTCTAAATATTAAAATGGTAATATATTAACACCCATCAATTTATTTTGTATATATATTTTTCTATGAAAGTTAGAATGGTAATATATTAATGCCCATTAGTCTGTTTAACGTCAAGTTAATGACATGGTGAGTTTTAGACATTTTGAAAAGTTGTGAGTTAAAGAGAAATGTTGAAAACTCATGGTGAGTTTTAGATAATTTAATGTTAATAAAGAATACATTATTTAAAATAAATAGTTTTAATTAATTAAAATACTATAATTATTAAAATTATTGTAATTATTAAAAGTACTATATTAACTAAAAATATTGTTAATTAATAAATTCAGTATTTTAATAAATAATTTTAATTAATTAATTAATAATATTGTAATTATTAAAAATACTGGAAAACCCAAAGGTCTCTCTCTCTAATAGATAAATTACTTCTCTCAAAGGAGATACATGCTGACATGGACCATCCAATTATATATATATATATATATTAATAAATGCTATAATTAATTAAGTAGGGTTAATTAGTAAATACTCTAATTAACTAACTACTATTAATTATTAAATACTATATTTGTTGAAATACTGTTAATTATTAAAAGTATTGTAATTATTAATTTACTATTAATTAATAAATACATTATTTGTAATAAATATTGTTGATTAATTAATAAATACATTATTTGTAATAAATATTGTTGATTAATTAATAAATACATTATTTATTAATGTAATTGTTAATAGTGTTGTTAATAAAATTTGAATTTATTAAAATACTATTAATTATTAAAATACTATTAGCTGTTAAATTATTGCATTTATTTAAAATACAGTAATTTTCTGGAAATTATCATATTTTCAGAAATATTGATAGACTCCCTTATTAATAATAAAATAATATTAATTGTACTTTTTAATTATTTCTTATTAAATTCCTTTATTAATATAAAATACTATTAACTTTCAATATTTTTCAATTATTTTCAGTATTTTAATTATGTTTAGGGCTTTCGGAATTTTCTGGAATTTTAATTAATTGTTGGATTTTTAATTATAGTTATTAGGCTTCAAACTTTCAATATTAAGTGAAAGTTTAGTGGATTTTTAAATTAACAATTTTTTGATTGTTTAACCTCAACCTATTTATATTATTACTATTCTCTCTCTCTCTCTCTAATGTAATAAGGCCTTAGAAAACCCAAATCTCTCTCTAATAGTATACAATGTTATTGATCCAATCAAAATAGGCAATGCTTACTTTTTTTATATTTTTAAAATAAAAGAAAATAAAAAATATAAAAAAAATGGAAAAAATAGATTAATAGCTTCTCTCAAAAGAAAGATATGCTGACATGGCACCTTCAATTTTATTATCTCTCTCTCTCTMTATATATATATATAAACATTAGCAAAATTGAACCAGAGTGCATATATTGAACCTACATTTTCACTATTCCCAAACGGAGCCTCAATGAAATGAATCCGATTACCAAAAAAGAAAGAAAGAAATCTAATCCAAATTCAATCTAAATCCAATGGATAAGGTTGGACAAGAATCCAAGCAACAACAAAACACATTTATTCAAAACATTAGTATATTTTATGTAATCGAAATGGATATGATGCAAGTTTTAACATCCAAAACCGGAATCAAGTATCAAATTTCCAGAATGCGTTAACAGCCCTAACAATAAATGATAACCCTCCAAACTTCTGGTTTATTAACTTGAGAGATTTCTGGCCAAACATTTTCCACAAGGCAAGTCTCAAACTTGGAAAAACCAAGGGTTGTTAATGGGTTGGGTCTGGCTCGAACCAGGATCGACCCCAACAAGAAATATCAAGGAATTGAAATTGAACCAGACCTGATAGGATTTACAATTTTAGACCTAGAACTAAATCGATCAATTCTCGAGACAGTTGGGACAATATATATTAAATAAATTAATATATTATATATATAATATATAGCCCAAATTAACTTTGAGTAGGTTTGAGATTTGGTAGAATTGGTTCTGAACCAATAATAGTCGGGACAATATATTAGGAACCAGAACTGATCCATTGCTACCAGATCTTGGAACCAGAATTGGCCCAATCGGTTTTGGTCCATTGGGTCCACCGAGTCAGAGTCGGCCCATTGACATCCCTACACCTAGGCATTTTGAGTTTAAACATCAATTTTTCATTTTTTTTTGTCTGATTTTGATTGAGAATGTTTTGAGTTAAATAGCTGTAAGATGTTTATATTAGAAACATAAAACAAGGCGTGTTTGGGAAAATGTTAAATTGATATTTCCTTCATCAACTGCCTATTTGAAGAAACTGTCCAATGGCATGCAGAACTGTAAATCGGGCCATGCTGGGCTTGGGTTTCCAGGCCCAAGGGCCGTCACGACACGACCAAGTGGGCTGTACTGTTCGTGGCCTGCGTGCCGGCATGGCCCAACAAACAGCATGACACAACCCATATATATATAATTTTTATTTTCAATTATATTATATTATTTTATTTCAATTGCATTGTAAATTTTTAAGTTCATTTTATTATTTCATATATAAACAATTGTATACATCAAAATTCATATGAAAAAATTTTAAGTTTCTTTTTCATTTTTTGTTTATTTTGTTAATTTATTTTAAAGTTTCATTATTTTTATTCTATTTTTTTAAACAAAATATACATCTCATGGCTTAGCCAGGTCTACGGCCCATCTTAGCCCAAGGCTCGACCCGTAGCATGGCACAACATGGCTTGGGCTGCCTAGGCTTGTGCCATGGGTCATGCTGGGCTGGACCTTTGAAATATCCTAGAGGTAGCAAGCACGACCCGCCAAAAGCACGGGCCACCTGTGGGTTGTACCTTGCTAGCCCGACACAACCCGGTTACACCTCTAATGGCATGGCTCTTAATTGGTGTCCTGCATTGCAGTGCAAAGATGGATAATACATAGGCCTATTCATGGGATGGGCTGAGCCGGGCTTCCACTCTGTATTAACAGAATTTTCTAAGGCCCGAGCCCRAGCTCGGCCCGACCATCGGGCCTACAACTTGGGCCCGAGCCCGGCCCTCATAAAAAGCCCGAGGCCCGGGCCTGGGCCCGAGTCCGAAATTTAGCCCATACTATTAGCAGCTGAATAGAGAGAGAGAGAGAGAGATTATAAAGAAAAGAATAAAAATGTATATATTAAATTATAAATATATATTTTAATAAATATTATATTATTTATATATTTTATATATTATAAAATACATATTATATATTTTATAAAATATATAATGCTGAGTCGGGCCGGGCCGGACTCGTGCCGGGCTTTTTTGACAAATCCCAAGCTCGGCCAGAAACACAGTCAGGCTTACTGTGTTAGGCCCAAGGTCAGGCCCTCAAGCCTAATTGCATGACCAAGCCCGACTGGGATGCGGATTGGGCCAGGCCGGGCCATCGGGCTACCCAGCCCATGAACAGATCTAATAATACATCATAGAATGCCAATAGACTCACCTCCAAAATAAAGGTTTTTTGTGTGTTTCTAGAACTTTGATTAAAAATGAGCCAATCACCGAAAAACATTTATTTTTTAAATTTAACCATTGGATGAGAATTAGTACAGTGAATTTGGATTTGATACTCACAAAATTCATCCTCAGGTTGTTATCACAGCCCTTACAACTTTGCATTAGAAATATCTTTTGATCAATACAAACATACAAGTTGGGAAATGGAAATGTTCCCAATGCCCATATGTAAGGATTGTGAAGACGAGTTTTGTGAGGATAAGATGTAAATTCTAGTACAGTTGAGTGGTGTCACTTTGAATATAAAGCATTGGATTTAAATGTATTAGGTAGCAATGTCAATACCAAACACAATACTGTTTCAAAAACTTGCGTAACAACGCCGGTGTTGACATTTTGACATGAAATGTCATTGTTTCTCTAAATGTTTGAACCTGAAATTTTTTATTAGGTCATCCGTTCGTACTGAACAGTTGTTTCCAGGTCGTTTTTTAAAACCAAAATCTCATGGATCAATACACACCGTATGTATAAGTTAGAGTTCACATCTGCCCCCTACAGAATGTGCCCCCAAAACGCCCCACATGCATTAAGAACATCTCCCATACTTGTCACTGGGAGATGTTCCCAATACACGATTGAGATGTGCTATGAGACGTTTTTGGGGCCTCTATGGAAGGCAGATTTAAACTCGTTTAGGTTAATCACTGAACTGCTTCTAATCGACATGTTTTTAGAAATGAGCTAGCAAAACTTATCTATCATTGCATATCAGACAAGCCTAAAGTGGAACTGAAACGTTTGCTATTATTACTGAATCAGTAATTACATTATCAGAACAGGAGACATCTTTTTCTTTCTTATTTGTTCTCTGTACGCTGCAAGTGCAACGCCATTAATCAATCCCCCCGTTTGAGCTAGTAGCTCCATTCCTTTGGAAGAAATATCTCTGGCGAAGAGCTGCGAGACTGTGGGAAGACACAGCACTGATGAGGTGATACGCCATCAGTAACGTCGTTGCCATTTCTTTTACTGACTGAATACCGACTCTTTCCATTGTATAGATTATTGTTTACTTCTGCAAACAAACAATCCAGACTGTTAGTGAGCTAACTCATCTGAAGTGAGGAGAGAGATTAATTAATTGAAGGACTAACCTCGTTGAGGTGTTGTTTGGGAACAACCCAGTGCATGAACATTGAGGTTGAGAGATTGAACGACACGAGAAGGGAGAAGCACAGGGGAACAAGCTGCACGATGATCACAAGTTATCCCAACTTTTCTGACTTTCTTTGGTGGTTAGAAGTTCAGAAATCATAACCATAACTTTTAACCACCTCTTCGATGTTAATTGGAGAAATGGGTCCGTTTGGTTTGCAGGAATAGGGTTTGGAATTGGAATGAAATTTAATTATTTGGTCGGACAAATGAAAATCCCATTCTCATTTATGGTGGAATGAAAATCCCATTCTCTCCTCCCCTGAGAATGATAATTCATTCTAACCAATTCTGATTCCAATTCCGAATCCGAATCTGAATCCAATTCTGAATCTCCGATTCAGACTATAAACCAAACGGACCAGTATTGAACAACTTTTCTTTAACAAATATTTAGAGTAAGGAAAACAGATCTCTTTTCTCTTTACCTGGTTTCTTGCTTGGTTGGAAGTTGGTACCAGCCCGCCTAGGGAGGAAAACCCCTGTGCCGCATGATCTTTGGCTGGAGTCTAGAAATATGGCTTGCATTCCCGGTCCTCCAGATGCCCGGTTCAGTGGGTACTTTGGTGGTCTGTGATGCCATTTTGACAATTGGTGCTGATACCATTTCATCACATAAGAAAGTAAGAAAAACCTCCATCAGTGTCTCTTGAGGTTTGATGTAATCAATTTGGTAATACAAGGGAAAGAAGAATAGAAAAGAGAAAGCAAACAAGGGGTCCAAGGGGAGTTGTATTGTTCAAGAGGGGATGGAAATTTGGAGACCCTTTGAACACCTACTAGAATAAGCTCCTTTTTTATGTCTGGTTTTTCCATTTTGAGTAATATAACCCAAACCAGTGTAAGCCCAACAAAGATCCTTGTTAGGTTTTAGGTGTATGACTCATAACTTCAATTTACCTTTAGGCCCTTCCATTTTATGGTTCATTTGCAATTTACCAAATAATGTTTTCTTCTTCCCAATTCTCTCTCTCTCTCTCTATATATCTGGATAACTTATGTCACATAAGAACACTAAAACCAAACTTACCCGGGGCCTCAATTTCTAATTAGTAGAGAAGGGAGATGATATTTTCACTCAAGAAAGCAATCTGCTCAATTAGATACTGTGGTTCAAGGAAACTATCTACCTAATTGCTTCATTTGCATTCGATCAGGTAGAGACCATCGGGCCACCTACCTTTTAGAAATGGCCCACTTACCAATTAATGGATGGTGATGATGAGAAAATCCTTTCGGACTTAAGAAATTTCAGGAATAACAAAGTAGCCCCTGGAGCTTCACAACTAAACGGCCGTATTTCGAGAGAAAAAAGTTGCAGAAAAAACCTGGAGACGAATCTCTCTCTCTCTCTTGTTTAGTCGTTACATGTTTAGATTCTCTCTCTCTCTCTCTCTCAATTGAAACTGCGAAAGGAAACAGAAATACTACCCGAGTAACAGTGCCGGCGTAGGTGTTTAGATGATGTTGATGATTTTGATAGTGGTGGTGGTGGTGGCGCAAAGTTTCCTGCAATCATAGAAAATGGAAATCCCAAACAACACAACTTAGAATCTCAGATTCAATGAGATGAGATGACGCTACAGTAATTTACACAGAAGAGGAGTATCATTCAAGAGCAAACTTGTTTGTTTTCTGGTAGGAAGAAGGACCTTTGATTCGCAGGGCTCGTCAAGAACGTCAGCGGGAAGCCACAGCATCGCCTCCTCAATGTCCACATCGCCATCTTCGGCCATAGACGCCATCTGAGAGGTGAGAGCGAGAGAAGGTAAAGAGGATTTCTCTCTCTCTTTCTCTCTCTTCTCTTCTTCTTCTTCTTTTCCCTTTTTCTCTCGTTCTAAGATACGATGGAGTCTGTTCAGCTCCAACCTCTGACCTGCAACGTAACCAATTATAGTAACGTGGGGAAATTGAGAGACTGGAGAGTGTGTGTGTGTGTATTAGGAATGGGATTCTATCATGGGAGATTGACCCCGAGTCCGCACGGTATTTACGATCCAACACCCGTGGGCGTGGGGTATGGAGTGTAGATGAGGTCAGCAAACTGACCAAACTGCCCTTTCCTTCTATTTCATACTTCGGTTTCACAAATGGACCCCCCCTTCCCCCAAATAAGTCAGACACGGGGTTATATAGAGCCCCGCCCAAATGAACCGGGCGGTTGGACCAAGAAATAATATGAACCAAAGCGTATATGATCAATGATCATATATAGTTTCCGATGCATACAAGGCAGGGCAGCAGGACCCTTACACAGATTAGACCAAGTCTGTTAGATCTCATTCAAATGCTACATTTTAACATATATTATTGTCAAGGATCAAACTTTTCCAATGTATATGTATCTTATTAATGGGTCACTGATATTCTAAAAATAAATAAATGGCATGCTTAAGATTAATTTATCTGATTAATTTTTGAAAAAAAAAATTAAAAAATGAGTATGGTCAAAACACTTTATATGTTACATCCAATCTAAGGTTTAAAATATCGATACATCCGATATACATGAACAAGCATACAATATGATAAATACAATAAAATATTATTCTTTTTTTTATATTTTTCTTAAAATTGGTCAAAGAATTGGCCTTAGGCCTGCCTAAAAATGACCAAATTCCCAACCCCATTATTTCCTCTATTAAAACCCCATAGATATGATACAATATGATAAATTGATAATAGTATTTGGGATGGGATCCAATAGGCAAAACATAGAAAGTACATCCGGTGAGTACTTTATAAATATTCTAACAACTGTTAAAATTTATCTTTAATCATTTTCAAGTGTAAGTTGGGGGTATTTCAAGGGCCATCAAGTGTAAAATTTTTTAAAGTATTCATTTAACGTGCTTACAATGGCATGCCTACCTGATCCGATCCCGTATTGAAATGTTGGACCTTGTCCCACTATGTATCGATATTTTGACCATTGATCATTCTGAATCAATCACGTGCCCTTTTGTATATAAGGTACCTTTATTACAGAGTAAAATTAATCAAATAGATGGTTTGGGCTGAGACCCGGTTGATTTAACCAGTCGAACCACAAAACCATCGGAAAAGGGCAGATCTGTCATTTTATAATAACAAAAAGGGTATAAGCGACCTTGCAAAAGATGATGGCGTTAGGTTGAGGAGGCAGTATCGTAGTTTGCTTAATAGAGAAATCAAGGGACAATAATGTAATTTTGGATGCTCACGACGACGTGAGGAGTGGGATGAGGGACGTGGATTGGGTTGGAATTTTGGATTGGGTTCGGTAAGCCCCTCCTCCCCTGGTTGTTGCAGTTATTTATATATTTAAACAAAATATATGGTTTTGATTCTTTTGAACGACACATGGATTAGGGGGAAGAAAAAAAACTGAATGAGGGGGTGGCCCCACCTTTCTACTCACACCAGCCATTTGAGAGACCGGGGGGNACCGGACCACGGCTTTCCCTCCTACGCCATGCGCATCCATTGCTGCTGCTGCTGCTCTACAACCACCACACCAACCCGCCTGAACTATTCCCGATTTTCATGCCTCGTGGGCCCCACTGTTCTATCAGTTCCACCATGGTCATGGCAGCCACTTGCCACCACCACTTGTTAACCCAACCCCACCCAATTCCCATGGCATGTGCACCGGGTAGTGGGGTCAGGCTCCAACCGGATGGGTCGATGGTTGGACCGGGAATTGCACCCAAAATGGTTCTGATGTATTGTTCATAGCATGGTTTTCAAATCTTTGTTGACCCGGATGGTCAGGCCATTTGGCCTGGAAATCGGTTTCATTTTACCCCTAAACCATTTTTTTGCCAAAAAAAGCATTGATTTGGTCAGTACCCTACTGATTTGAGCAGTCAAACCATCAACTTGTTTCACTTGGACAACGGTTTTTGGCTGATTTTTTTGTTTTAATGTTTTTTTTTTAATTGTAATGGGCTGTCTATTCGGATTGGACAGTTGAACCACTGACCCAGAAGTCAATGGTCAAAGTGGTTCTGATTCCGAGATGGTTAGAAAACATTGGTTCATAGAAAGGTTGACCGGGCAAAGTTGTATGGGCCATGAATAAAAGCAGTCAGGGATGTCAACCAGTAGGGTTCAGTATGGGTTTGTCCCGAACCTAACCCAATCCTCGTTCCCACCCGGACCTGCATAGAATTCAACCCTATTCATGTAATTTTGGACCAGCCCCAACTCTATAGGATTCAACTCGATACCAACCCAACCTGACCTATAGCCTTTCATGGATAGATTTTGATTTGGTCAAAATTTGTTCCATATCATATCTTTTCTGTATCATAGATATTCCCTTTATAATATATTTTGAAAACTTAAAACCTATTAATTTAAATTAGAATTTAATTTACTCAGTCTGACATGCTACTTTCTTTTATTGAAAGATGAAAAACCAAAATAAACATAAAAATGATTTGAGACTATGGAGTTAGAAGTTGTCAAATTACAATAATATCCTATATATGAGGGGTATAATGACCCAAAGGGGTGAGTTATCCAAAATTTAGGTCATAACCCACCCCTACACCTGAATAGTCAAATTCCTAACCCGATTCAGGTTAAAATTAAAACCCAAACCCAACCCTACTCCCGAATAGCCAAAATCCTAACCTGAGTCGGGTTAAGGATTAAAAACCCTAACCCACCACTACACCCGAATAACCAAAATCATAACTTGACTCGGGTTAAGGATTAAAAACCCTAACCCAACCCTACACCCGAATAGAGCTGATCCTAGGCTGGATTTATCGTTTAGCCCAGATCCTGCTTACACCTATTTTATGGATACTGGAGAGTCACTTGAAGAACTAGTTTAACTAAACTGATTTCATTATTGTCTAACGACTATTGACTATTACAAGATTTAGTTGCAATTGTTGGTTACACCTATAACTCTTAACTTTTGGATTTTCTTTTTAAAATAATAAAAAAAGTGTTTTTTAACAGTCAAAAGTCAAAACTAATCCCTATCTCTAAAGCAGTGGATTTAGCATACACAATGCTATTCAAGAACCCACACACTTTTGTTTTTTATAGAATAATAGAAGTATAAGTAAGATTTACAAGTAAACATATTAGTAGTGTTGTAAACTTGTAGTAGTTCCATGTAGGATTAGAGGAAAATAGAGATATTTGAAGTTTTTGTAAGAAGTTTAAAATTTAAGCTGTATTTGTTTGTGGAACAAATCTGGACTGGATACAAAATTTGCATCTGGTTCAGTTTTGTATCTATTTGTTTGTAATTATGATTTGCACTCTCATCTGATATAAAATTTGTACATTTGTCCCATTATMCTCATTGTCAGTACAAATTTTGCATCATCTCCCTCTTATATCAATTCGCTCTCATATAAAATGACGTGTACTAAGCTACTTTTGAAACATGACGTTAGAAGACAAATAAAATTAAGCTAGCCAACTTGGAGGGAAATCCCTCCACTCCATTAGACAACCGAAGCCTTAAACTTTTTGCATCACCCTGTGAGCCATACCGTAGCAAAACAAAGCTACCAACTCACAAGAAAAAATATTTCTGTACAGTACAAATACAAGGCACTTTACCCAGACTAAGCCTTAATATCATGCATAGAAGACCACGTGGCACAAACAATGTCTCCATCTACAGTTTTTACAGACATCAAGGGGTTTGATTGAACTACCACCTGCTTCAACTTCATTTCCACAGCAAATCAAATGGCATTCAGAATTGCAAAAAACTTTGCCTATAAACCCTTTGATCAATCCTAACTTGCTCTCCCACTGTTGCAATAAAATTGCTCCAATCAAATCGGATTCGGATCACCCCATCCAATCCGACAAGATTCGATCCGATGTATTATATATTTATAAATATAAATATATTATTTATATTGTATTTTTATAAATTTGTTATATTATTTATTTTTTTATAAAAAACGTGTATATATATGATGAAAAAATAAAAAATATATATTTGTTTGTTTTTCTTTATTTAAATTAGTATATTTTATTTTTTTTAATAGTTTATTAATTTTTAAAGAAAACAAGTTGGATAAAATCAGATCTGAAGATCTGATAGGATTCGAATTCATATTAAGTCCTTTCAGATCTGATCAGATTCAACATGAATAGTGTTGGATCGGATTCAAATATACCATTATACCTTGATTTGAATCCTATCCGATCCATCTGCATCCCTACTTTATATAAGTGGTAGAGGTATTTTTCTGTGTAATTAGGAAAACAAAGTTATCTCGGGTTGTGCAAATAGGAAATTTTTTAACGTATGTTCAGTTTTGTAGATAAAATAGACCAACTGAGGGTAAGACAGTCAAACAAAATATTTCCATTTTCCCTTTTGGAAAAAAAAAAAACAGAAGAAGAAGAAGAAGAAGAATATAAGATCAACAGTTATCTCTAATTTATTAGAGAGTTTCTCTCCTAAATTATCTCTAATTCCTATTTATCCTCTCCCCTACTTTTTATCTATATCTATCTAAAGAAAGTTTGAATTAAAAAATTTAAGAATTATTTAAATATTCTAATAAAATTATATAATAACTTTAAAATATTTATTAAAAAGACAAAAAATAATTATAATCTATTTAATAATATTCATATTATTAATAATTATATATTTTTACAAAACTCATCACGAAATTATGTACAAACAATATAAATTATGATTTTCTAGATTATAAGTTATCTCTAATTTAGTAGATAACTTCTCTCCTAAATTATCTCTAATTCTTATTTATCTACTACCCCACTTTTTATCTACATCTATCTAAAGAAAGTTTGGATTAAAAAATTTAAGAATGATGTAAATATTCTAACAAAATTATATAATCACTTTAAAATATTTATTAAAAAGACAAAAAACAATTATAATTGATTTAAAAATATTCATATTATTAATAATTATATATTTTTACAAAATTCATCACAAAATTATGTACAAACAATATAAATTATGATTGGTTAGATTATTCAATCTAAATGTTATTCAAATAATAAAAATCTAATATAAAAAAATAAAATATTATTAAATATTTCAATAACAAAATATTGAAATTAATATTTTAAATAAATTAATAATATATTTTAAATAGTTACTGAATAACTTTCAATTATAATAAATAGATTAAGATTTTAAAGATTTAGTTAAATAACTAAATATTTTGAATAACTAGATTTTAAATAGTTAAAATAACAAAATTATGTATTAATAGTACTATAATTTTATGAATTATTAAATTCAACAAGTAATTAATATTTTAAAATTTAAATAATGATATTAATTCAATAAATAAATAATATTGTAAATAACTTATTTCATTCATACCAATTAATAATTCTGGAAAATAGCTTTCAAAAAAATTATTGTTTATTAATAATAATTGTAAAAGCTTAATATTTATCTATACTAAAATTAATATTTATTGTATTTTAGTAATTATTTATTATTTTTTGTGATAAATATATTTTCAATAATTATATATAAATATATTTTTGTTTTGTTATTTAATAGAAAATTTTCAATAATTATTGAAGTTTAAACTACTGTTATTTGTCTTTTTAAATTTAATTTATTGCGTATTTTTACTATAAATTTTAATAATTACCAGCGATTAAACTATTATTCACGGGATTATTCGATTTAGTTGTAGGTTGATTAGCCAACCAAATCGACCTGGTTAGGTTGGGGGAGGTTATACCAGTTTGGGTCAATTTTTGGTTTGGTCGGTCGGTTCAAAAGATTTAAACTTAAAAAATTAAATTTAAATTTAAAAAATTACAATGGCATTATTATAAAATAAATTTTAAAATTAAATTTATGATATAAACTATTTTAGCCTAAGAAATATTGGAATTTTCCCACTTTCTCGTATTAAAAAATATATTTAGAATATAAAATACTAATATATATCTATAATCGGGTTGTTCAATTTTAGTCAATTTACAAATGGCCAAAGTGAAACTTATCCAACCTAGTCGGGTTGGTAAATTGTTGAACTAAAGCCGACTAGAAATACTAAAAATCGGGTCAGTCAGTTTCATTAGTTTGATTCAGAATGGCGATGGAGTGGGGGTGGGGACAAGGAGCCTCTCGCCATCCCCATCCTCATGAAAATCTCCAACCAGGTCCCTACTAACAAGGACAAAGTTATCCCCATACAAGGTTCCTCACTCCCCGTGATTCTTTATAATATCAACTATTACGTTTTTGTTTTTTATTTTATTTCAAAAATAAAAATAAAATAATTAAAATTTATAATATTATTAAAAAAATTCAAATATATTCAATCATATTTTTAAAAATATTAACATATATATATATATATATATATATATATATATATATATATATATTAGCAGAAATATCATGAAAATGGGAGTCCACACGGGGCAGGAAGTGTCCATCCCTACCCCGAATCCCACTAATGAGAGAATAGGAAAAATTACGATCCTAAACAATCACATCGAAAATTTAATTATTATTATTTTTGTATTATAAATAAAATATTAATAAAACAGCATTAGCATTAATGGGTATCCCACCATCCCTTCCATTTATCAAGGTTCTGACTTCTGGAGTTTTAGGTTGACTTGCTATTCACTCTCTCTCTCGTCCCTTAGCAGGAAGAGAAATGCTGGACATCAATCTCTTTCGAGAAGACAAGGGCCACAATCCTGAACGGATCCGGGAATCTCAGCGTCGGAGATTCGCGAATCTCGAGATCGTCGATGAGATCATCCGCCTCGACAAGGAATGGCGACAGCGTGAGCTTCCAAAGTCTTCGATTATGGTCTTAATTCCTGTGCTTTGTGACTTCATGTTTTCGAACCAATAATTTAGGCAATGGCTTTCTGTTGGTTTTGGTTGTTCAGGTCAATTCGAGCTCGATAATCTGCGCAAGGACTTCAACAAGATCAACAAGGAAGTCGCACGCCTCAAAATTGTGAGTTGTGAGTTGCCCACTTTCCTTCGCTTATACTCATCTTATTTGAGATTAAATTGTGGCATGCTGGAATTTTAGAAGTGGGTTGCGGTTTTTGCTTTGCAAGGCGGGTGAAGATGCGACTGAGATGATAAAGAATACGGATGAGAATAAGCAGTTGACGGCAAAGAAAGAGATCGAAGTTCAGGAGGCGAGAGTGGCCTTGTATTCCAGATTGGAAATTGTTGGAAACCTTGTGCACGATTCGGTTCCCATCAGCGATGATGAGGTTTGTGGTTTTTATAATTTACTTTTCATTTTTTTATCAGCAATTTCCTTTTCAATTTTAGCCACAGATCAAGGTTATTGACTTGGTTTAACATTTTATTGTCGGCTTTCCTTCTTTTCCTTCCCTGTTAGGCAAATAATGCTGTTATTCGATCGTGGGGGGAGAAACGAGAGGAGCCAAAACTGAAAAATCATGTTGAATTAGTTGAACTTCTCGGAATTGCAGATATGAAGAAAGGTATATAAATAAAATCTTGAAGCACCTGTGGATAGATTCTTTTTTATTTCCTTATTCTCACATGACAAAGAAGTTCTGCTGTGAACAATCTATTAAAAAGTTTGGCGTCACTGTGGTTTACTTTTATATTGACTTACAGTACTACATTTGCTTTAGAGTTCGCAAATTTTATTGGCATCCAATTTTTTATATGGGTCAACTCTCAGATAAAAAGAGCATGAATATTGGCATCGGATTATTGCTAATATTGTTCATTTCGTTATTCCTAATACAAAACATTTTTTAAAAGACAAGGAACTAAAACGAAACCATAAAACCAACTTTTTAAGTAGGTATTAAGAGTTTTAAGATCATAGCATTGACATATTTGAGCTTGCTTCAAGGGGCTCAATAAAAAGGCAGCTCGTAGAACTAGAGTAATGCAATTGGGAAAGAAATAAAGAGCTTGAAAATTTCACATGCTTAAGTTGTTGAGTGCTTGAATATGTTTTATATGTTATGTTTGATTTTGTTTTTACATTATCACTTTGCATATGCTTTATGTTTTATGTTCATGCAGTTTAATTTGAGTTAATATGATTTTTAACACATTTAGTTTAAAATTTAAGTATGTATTTTAAATTAATATTATTTTCATTTTTATTTTTCGTTTTTTATGAATTTTTTATTTTTTTTTAAATTGTGCCTTGCACCATGGGCGCAAGATGCCCCTTCCACTTTTAAAACACTTACAAAGGAGAGAAAATGAAATCTGAAATATTTTCTCAATCTCTATCAAATTCTTGATTGATATGATATCAAAGAAAATCTTTGATTGAGAGAATCTCCATGGACAATTTGGGAAGAAAGAAACCTAAGAATCTTTGATGACAAGGAAAGAAGCAAGATCAAGGTTATAACCTTAAGGGTGGCGCATTGGGTGAAAACCTTAAAGTTGTTTGCTGACTTTAAGGTAGAAGATTTCTTCAGTTCGTGGGGAATAATTGCTGACTCTTCATCTAGAAGACAATTAGTATATGAGGTCTGGTCTTTTCCATGTTCTGGATGGAAGAAATTAAACTTTGATGGCAGCTGTATAGGCAATCCTGACCCATTGGGTATTGGTGGGGTCTAAGGAATGAACTAAGGTGCTTCAAGCAGATATCTAAAGACATGTTGATCCAAATAAAGTGGATTTGGAGATTTGCAAACAGTATGGCTGATGGTTTAGCTAAACAAGGAATTCAGAGACAATCCATGTTCTAGGCTGTTTTGTAAATAGTGGGATAGTTTTTTCTTGGGCTTCTTGTTGTATATGCTCTTTTTAATCTAATGAATCAATTTTTTTGTGTTGCTGATTGTTGGTGTGAAAAATTTTAATAAATTCTCATGCAACATAATTCACTCAATCATGTGATTGAGTTTTTTTTATTATTTTGGATAAGGCCTATTCAGGGAATAATACGGATTGTTCCCCTTAATTACATCTCCACAAGAAAGTAGAGAACACTTTTTTATTCTGACTTAGAGAAATGAATATATAGAACAAAAGAAAAGAACAATAGAGTACTTAAAAAGAACTTTTCATTTGCATTTCTTTTACATCAAGTGTACAAGAATGAGAAGAGAGAAAAAAAAGAAAAATACAACTGAGAAGCTCTACAACAATACATTTCTCTCATTCTTTTCTTTTTGATACAAAGAAGATTTCCTTCTCACTCCTCTTCACAATGAGATGTAGTCAATCAAATGAAATTCTGATTGTAGACAGCCTTAATCCTTTGGATTTTTGCATACAAGATGGGAATCGTAATTGATCAAACTGAATATTTGATTATAGACGATTTTTATCCCTCAGTTCTTCATTTTCATTTGAAGGGAACCATAATCAACCCTTGAGAATTAGACTTTAGATGGTTTAATCCCTAACTTGTCTTGGAAGAGGGACCATAATCAACCAAGTAGAAGCACTTGGTTGTAGATGGTTTATTTCTCTCTATTTCCTTTCTCAAAAATAAAAATAAAAGAGAGAGAAAGAAGGATACATAGTAGAAGACATATAGGGTGCAAATGGATCAAATTCTGATCCGATCCTATTTTGTCGTATTTGGATCCCCCCTATTCAGATCGGATCGGATCAGAAAATAGGATTCGATCAGAAATCGGATCATATTTGGATCACCCCTATTCGATCCGAATTTCCAATATATATATATATATGTTATTTCTTTATTTTTATAAATATATTATTTATTGCACTTTTGTAAATTTGTTATATTAATTATTTTTTTATAAAAACATGTATATATATATATGATGAAAATAGTTGAAAAGATACTTGTATTTTTTTGTTTTCTATTTTTAAATTATTATATTTTATTTTAATTTTAATAATTTATTAATTTTTTAAGAAATTTATATAGGATCTGATCTGATCCGAAAATTTGACTTCTTCATCGGATTCGAATTTGAACCCATACTTATGAGATCCGATTGGATATTCAGATCATATCGTCTCTTAACAGTGTCGAACCGGATTCGGATATACCCTAATTCCAGGACTTTTTCCTACCTGTATTAATGAGAGTTCTTTTCCTTCCCTGTCTTCCCTTGAGCACTTGTCTTTTCTTCTCTCTTTATCTTGGCTTTTCTTAAGAATCTCTTGAGACAATTTTCTCCAAAGGGGGGGATCTAGCTTCCCCTTAAGGAGCTTAAAGAGGGAGCGGGGTAGTTATGTAACTACCTCCTCCCCCTAGGTGAAGGACACCTGTCCCTCCCACTTAAAGAGAGGGAACTCCCATATGGAACACTTTTTTATAGTTTTGATGACTTGGCTAGCAGACTAACCAACCCACTTATTTGGGTTATAATTTATTTAAATATTATTTGGATTAAAAAAAAGCCTTCAACACTGATAAAAAAAATCTCCATGGGACCAACTTGAGCTGGCCAAAACTGATGAAATGGGTCTAGTGCATAGGCTATCTTGCATGTAGGCTGCAAGTATTGGCTGTGAAGTCATGGTCTTAGGACTGGACCCTTCTAGTCCATGTTTCAGTGCCTCCTTGGATTTTTGTCTTAGTTTTGAAGCAATTAGAAGTTGTTTTCAGTTAGTTTCCCAGTTGAGTTTGGAGTACAAAGGGAGACCCTAACCCTTGTATTTAGTCTATAAGTAGAGTCATTGAATTTTGAACTTAAATGAGAATTAATGGAATGAAAACTTTGTTTGAAGTTAATTCAAATCTTTAATTTCCCTTTTTCACCCACTTCATTCATCCTAGGACAGTTTTCTTCCCATCCTATATCAGTAGGCCAAAAACAGATAATTGAATTCTATTGTGAAACTCATCTCAACTAAGCCATGTCCCAACCATATGAGGTTGGCTACATGAATCTTGTTCCACCATTCCACTCTGTTCAATGCCATTGTGAAACTGGTACCATAAATAAGTTTAGTAAATATATGTATCGATACATTTTTTACTCATCTATGCTTGATTCCAATGTGTCTGCTTATGAAAATATTCGTGACACATATAGGTACTAATGTAGCGGGAGGAAGAGGTTACTATTTAAAAGGGGCTGGTCTACTCCTTAATCAGGCATTGCTAAACTTTGCCTTGACATTTTTGACAAGCCGGAAGTATACACCATTGCAGACTCCATTCTTCATGAAAAAGGATATTATGGCAAAATGTGCTCAACTAGCTCAATTTGATGAAGAACTTTACAAGGTATTTTTTCCTTGTTCTTTTATAAGACTTGTTAATATCTTGGATTAGGCTAGGATATTTTTTCCTTGTTCTTTTATTTTTGTTTATGAAGGCTAATAACTTGCATGAACCAACTATTTTCAAAACAAACACATTTGGTATATGGTTTGTAGGGATGCTATTCCAAGGCTTTTAGCCATGTTCAGCCTTTTATCAGTTCAATTAGAAATACTTGTTTCTAATAGAAAGAGGAGTGCTAGAGAGAATCATTAATTTTCACTTGGTAGAACTAACCATGTGCACAAACTATGTTTAACACTAACCAAATAGGCTATTGCCTAGAATCAGTTCAAGGGAAAAATAAATGATGAAAAAAAAACGAAGTTTGGAACAAGAAAAACATGTTTGTTAATGCTTGTTCTCTGTAATCTTCCTCTTCTCTTTTATTGATGGCTTTGTTTACCCATCTCCGTGTGTTGCCCCAAATTCTAACGAGTCCTTGCCAGAAATCACCCTTCATTCCATAATACTAATCGGAACCTGCCCCCAGTCCTTATTGAATAATGGTAGAATTTCATAATAATAGGAAAACATGCAATCATTAGGCCTTCCTAAATGAAGGTTTGTCCATCCTAAAGTGAGAATCATTTAAAACTCTTGATAATTTCTTCTTAAAAACTTGAAGCCAAGTGATGCTGTAGTAATGGCGATAATGATTGGTCTACAGAAACAATTTTATACTTAGTGAAGTAGGTGTCTTTTCTTGAGATTGTATTCAAGGATCACTTAGTTTGCAACCTTTGGGTAGCTTTGGAAAGGGATAAAGGGTGAGATTTTTTTTTTCATAGATAATAAAGGGTGGGAATCAATGATAAAGAGGGACCACAACTTACTGCTTCTCCAATACGAATACAAGATGTCATACACAAGTGAAGATGCACTATACATCTTTGGTGCTGTATACATGCTATGTTAAATCTATAAGACATGAAAACAGCAATCATAAAGCTTGTTTTTTATTGGTGCACCCTTTAAATTTTCTCAGTGTAAAATACAAATGTGAATAAAGATGTAAAATCGATACATTTTTTCAAAGTCTAATCAGATAATTTCTTCTAATCAATGTACTGATAAAAAAAAAAAGAATTCTTCAAAGCAATTTTCTACCAAATCATTTCATCAACCACATCCACCAGGATCCCCATTTCTTGCTCATCAAAAGCAAGGAAAAGGGACCCCATTTCTACATTCACTCCAGACTTGTTAGTATCAGGAGGTTTCTTATGTGCTTCTATGATCATTTACTCTTTAAAAAAACAAGCTTACTTCCCTTAGCTACCCCTGAACATATATGTACACAAACACCCACCCAAAAGAAGTATATTCCCCTCAGTTGATTTTGTTATTTGCAGGTAACTGGTGAGGGAGATGACAAGTATCTGATTGCTACATCTGAACAACCACTCTGTGCTTATCATCTTGATGATTGGATCCATCCTTCAGAACTACCCATAAGGTAGAAAATATTGCGATTGCTGTTTTATTGGAAACAGAGGGATTATAGTAACCAATAAGCTATACTATAAATTTCTTTTTTTTTTTCACTTAGATGATTGTCAATTGTTCATGACAACAATTGGATATTTTGCCAGATACGCAGGATATTCAACTTGTTTCCGTAAAGAAGCTGGTTCACATGGTCGAGATACTCTAGGTATTTTCCGAGTCCATCAATTTGAAAAAGTGGAGCAGTTCTGCATTACCAGCCCGAATGGCAATGATTCATGGGACATGCATGAGGAAATGATAAAAAATTCAGAAGACTTTTACAAGGAGGTATAGGGTATTCCTAGGAAAATTTCTGGGAGGGAGTTGCCATCTCTTTTGATCTTTTTACTCTTTTCTGTGTGAATAATGCAAAATGTAGAATCTGCCACATTTGTCTGATCTGTATTCTCTATTACAGTTGAATATCCCCTATCAGGTTGTGGCTATTGTTTCTGGTGCTTTAAATGATGCAGCTGCAAAGAAGTACGATTTGGAAGGATGGTTTCCTGCATCCAAGACATATAGAGAACTAGTCTCCTGCTCAAATTGTACAGATTACCAGTCCAGAAGATTAGAAATCAGATATGGGCAGAAAAAGGTAGGTTCCTAATTACAATTCATGCTTTTGCTCGTTTGACAGTAGACCCTAGAATATAAGCTGCAGGATGTAAGAAACTCAAACTTTAAGCACAGTTTTACTCTTCAACTCAATTGCTGGAGGACTCTTTTGCTGTTATCTGTATATTTACAACTTATCATTGGTTTGGGTTGCAGAGCAATGAACAAGTGAAACAGTATGTTCACCTGTTGAACTCTACCCTCACTGCAACAGAGAGAACCATCTGCTGTATTCTTGAGAACTATCAGAGGGAAGATGGCGTTGAGATTCCAAAAGCCTTGCAACCCTACATGGGTGGCACTATCTTCCTTCCTTTCCAAACAAGCCCACAGACAGAAGTGAAGGGGAAGAAGTCAAAAGCTTAAATGAAAAGCAATCAGGAAGAGACTCTCGTTTATGGTTGCTAGATTAATTTCTCCCCCCATTCTTGAAGGGGGTCTAGAATTGAAACAGATCAAATCAAATGGTAAAAGCTGTAAGTGCGCAACAACGTGCCAACACGAACTTTAGATGCTTCGTTATTAGGAAAATGGTGTCATTTTCTCTCTCTTTTTTGTTGTTGTAATAGTCAAATTAAGAATTGTTGATGTTTTAATATTATCCAGTTATTATTGGTAGAAACTAACATAAAAGAGTTGTGCAATTATTTTTCAAACAATCAAAGCGTTTAGCGCTCCAGTTTGGTGTTTGATAAGAAAACGTTTGTTGACCAAAATGAAAGTTACATTTCTAATGTTTTTTTTCCGTACGTGTGAGGATTTTTTTGGTACTTCGTAAAAGCCCTATTTTCTGATGATCCAATTGACGGAAAAGTACGGACAGGTCCAATGCAGATTTCTCATTTCCACTGCAGAGCTATAAACATTTAAAATGTCAAAAACCCATATTATATACATCAATGCCCGCGTGAATTGGCATCAATTCCAAGCTGGCACTAATCCCAACTATACTTTGGGCCTAAAAATTCTGACCCTGGGCTGAACCATCATTCTCTCTTGTTAAGATCGTCACTTGCGCCCTTCTATGTAAGGGTGCAAGTCTGGGCGGGTTAGGCCGGGTTTATAGGTCAACCCAGGCCCAACCCTACAAATTAGGCATAAGGCCCAAGCTCAGACTGAGCCTACAGTCAAGCCCGATTTGTTCAATCTGGTGGTCCTAGCACATACCAAAATTAGATGCACTTGGGTTGGTCAATCAGTCCATTCTAATATGATTGGACGAGGTTCATTTTGCCCAAATTTCACCTGTCTAGGATCAAACCCATGTTTCTCCAGGTTTTCTGTGATAAGGTATGACAAAATTACCCCTGATCCGAGCATAGACCCACCTTGTGCCTACAAATTTTAGTATGTATGTATGTTGTTTCATGTTATATTTTATGTATAAATATTGTAATGACACAATATATATTATATAATATTTTATGTTAATGTATAAAATAAGTTTATATATTTCTTATATGCCATTTAACATAAGCATGAGGTTTATGTTTCAAGCTTGGAACCTTGGTCGGGTTAAGCCTAGGCTACAACAATTCTCATAGGTTCAAAGCCTGACCTAGGCTTGGCCCACGCCAACTTGACCCATAATCATCCCTAAATATAACCCATCCAATCCTGATTAAACAAAGGATTATATATGTATAATTATCATATGTGGGCAGTCAGGGGTAATTTTGTCATCAAAATATTTAATAATGATGACTAACATTCAGGGATAATTTTCTCTATGTAAAATACTTAAATGCTTACATGGACAACTTTCAGTAATGATATGGCTATGTTTGGTTTGAAGGAAAAGGTAGGGAAAGGAAGGGAAAGGTAGGGAAAGCTATACAAGGTTTGTAATGGAATTCTTAGGCCCCGTTCGCTTTTTGGTAAGTTACTTACTCGGGTAAATGCAATTATCTGGGTAAGTTTTTCCTGGGAAACACTTATTTAGGTAAGTGCATTTACCCATATTTTTTTTATTTCTCATGTAAATAAGGCAATGCCCATTTTAGCCATAAAAATCCATTATTAAAAAGGGCATTTTTGTCCCATTCAAGTGTTGGTAACTTTCCCCTAGGTGGGAAAGTTATTTACCCATCTCCTAGATGGATATCACTTACCCGAGTAAGTGATACACAGGAAAATAAACTTTCCCTATTCTCCACATAAATCTAAAAAAAAGAACATGGGATTCTTGGTCAATGGGAACCAAAATCCCATTGACCAACTTTCCCCCTTCTCAGAATCTGAAAAAAGAATGCCCCCTTAATGGAAGGTGAGTTATGGACAATAAAACTCATTGATAGGGGCTCTTGGAGGTTTTCAAAAGTCATGATGAGTTTAAAAGAAATACAAAAAAAAAATCTATGGGGAGTTTAAGATATTATCCCTAAAAGAAAAGGCCTTATTTTTTTGGTATTAATCACCCCCCCATAGGGGTCATTACTCTTTAAGTGAAGAATACAACATCACATCAACAACCTCAAGTAATCACACAATTTCTTTTTCTTACAGAAATGATAATAATGGGATTCGAAACCACACCACCACTGGGACAATTCATGCACCTACCCCTTGGTGATAATATCCCTAAAAGAAAAGGCCTTATTTAATGGTCCTCAATCCTCATAGATCTTCCAAAATTTGTAACACCTGCATAAATCAATCACTTCCTTGGTCATTTTTACCATCTAAATACAATAATAAATAAATAAATAGGAAAAATGTACCCCCTTCCCCCATCTAGAAAGGTACCTCTGACGTACTATGTAAGCTGAATTTGTAGAAGGCATGTGACCATGCAAGGTTTAAAGTATCATTACATATCGACTCGTATCAACCGATACGTATCGTTCTAAGACCCTTCCAATATGCCCCTACAGTGGGTGTATCGGGGATCTGACCGGTTCAGGGGATGGAGGGGTCCTAGACCGTCTCCCCTGAACCAGTTTTGAAAAAAAAAAGTACAAAAAAGTATCGAAATGCTCGATACCCCCCTATCAGCGTATCGATATTTTGAACCTTGCGACCATATATGAATTGGGATTTGTTCCTCATAGAGCGCTCCTCACACCAACATCACAGCCATCCCACCATGTATTAGGAACATCTCCCCATGAAGGATAAATACAAATACAAGTGATGTTTCCGATATGTGGCCAGGACACGTTGTGAGGTCTATATGAGGAGCGCTTTGTAAGGAGCAGATCCAGACTTCCCATGCACAATGAGAGTTCGTGGAGTATTTGTTTCGTTAGATGAACTTTGGTGTTAAACGGCATTGTCAAATGAAGGCTTCTAGGTTTTCAGCAAGGTGATAAGCCATGGAGAGGTGGGTGGAAAAATGGACTGGAAGGCTTCTAGGTTAAGTAAGAGAGTCCTAGGCCTTGTTCATTTTTCTAGAGGACATTTATTTGGGTAAATGCACTTACTTAGGCAAATGTTTTCTGGGAAACACCTACTCAAGTAAATGTATTTATCAATGTTCTTTTATTTTCTAAATAAAGTTAAACAATGATGTTTGATCCATAAAAATTTCATTATTGAAGGGGTAATGTTGTCCCCTCATGTGTAAACAATTTTCCCTACGGGTAGGAAAGTTATTTACCCAAGTGGGCAAGGAGTAATACTTACCCAAGTAACTGCCGCACTCAGAATTGTTCTTTTCCATGGGACCCACAAATACCAAACAACAAACACAAATAAATCGATCAACTTTTGACCAATTTACCTGGTAATTCCCTTCTATTTCTAAGGCAAACATCAAAATTTGCTCTTCTTAAGATGTTTGCTCATTTGTTTGGAAGTTGTCTCGAATCTGAACTGAGTTGTTGCCGATTTGGGGAGGTTCCAAATGTCTCAAAATGGGCTGCTACTTTGGGGTGCTGAACAGGTGTACTGCCAACAAGATACTTAGAACTACCTTTGGGAACCAATTACAGATATAAGGAAATTTGGGAACGGATCAAGAAGTTGGCTGGTTGGAAGCAATGTTTTAAAAAATGATCCAGAAACGGAACCGTTCTAGCCACCGGTTTCTGGGTCAACAGTCCGACTATTTGGTTCAAATGGATGGCCCGTTTTGATAGCAAAATTAAAATAATTAAAAAATAAAAAATGGTCAAAATCATTGAATGGGTCGATGGTTCAACCGCCTGGGTCAACGGTCTGATCATCTGGTTCAAACGGACAGCCCGTTCTGACAGCAAAATTAAAATAATTAAAAAATAAAAAACGGTCAAAACCATTGAATAGGCCGATAATTCAACCGCCCAAATCAACGGTTTTTTACCAAATTCTGGGTTTTGGGTAAAATGAAACCGATTGCCTGGACGATTCCCGAGCTGAATGGTCCGACCGTCTGAGTCAACATTAGTTCGAAAACGTTGGCTGGAAGAAGGGAATGTTGTATGAGGGAGGCAAGTTGACTTTGATTCATAATTGATAGTACTCTTTCAAATTTACAAATTTATTTTTTTCCTCTTTTCCTTGCACCAATTGAAATCTTGGTACAACTTTAAAACCTTCAACAAGGTGGGTGTTTGGCACTAGTGCATTTACAAGCATTCCATTTCTGCTGATTAGACATGTTCATGGACCGGGCTGGGCTGGGCTTTGACTCTTTATTAACAGAAAATTGTTAGGCCCGAGCCCGAGCCCGGCCCGACCAACGGGCCTATAACTTGGGCCCAAGCCCAACCCTGATAAAAAGCCCAAAGCCCGAGCCCGAGCCCGAGCCCGAGCCCGAAGCCCGACCTAATAAAAGAAATTCAAAATTTTCCCTATTCAAATGGACATTTTCTATTTTAATTTAGATGTTTTTTCCCCTATTTAAATGAACAATGAGCCTACAAGTGAATCAATGACCTTCTCAAATCAAAAAAWTTATTCAAATAGACATCACATAGGGTTTTTACTTAGGTTTAACTATAGGTCAGGCCAGGCCAGGCCAGGCCAGGCTCAGGCCGGGCTATTTTGGCAAAGCCCGAACCCGGCTCGAATTTTATGCGGGCCGGGCTTTTTGGCCCGAGGTTAAGCCCATGGGCCAAAAATCCTGTTCAAGCCCGTCCGGGGGTCAGGCCGAGCCGGGCCGGCCCGCCACCCGGCCCATGAACAGGTCTACTACTGATGTGTCATGCGCGTCACATCGGTTAATAAATGGAATTGGTAAAAAAATTCTATTTGGCAATCCTGTTTCTCAAAAAAAAAATCGCCCTGATGATATGGCACGTTGGAATTTGAAAAATCAGACTACTTTTTTGAGATGTTCATACTTGTCATTATAAATATATTATAATATTAAGTTAAATCACTCTAAACATAAAAAAGTGAAATAAAACACTTGTGGATCGGAGCCCACATATGAAACTGAAGGCTTGTGAAACACATCAGTGCCAAACACCCACAAGATTTCCAGTGGGAATCTCGAGGAGCCAAAAAGCTTGAATTTGGTGGCATGGGACAAGACCAGCTTCCCCAAAGACAAAGGAGGAATTGAGCTAAGGTCTTTGAATTCTATGAACGTTGCCCTGTTGGTCAAATGGATTTGGCAATTTTGTGAATAGAAAGAGGCCTTGTGGAAGAAGCTAATTCAAGGTAATTATGGTGAGCAGGAATTGGGGTGGAATACAAATCCTATCTCCCAATCTTATAG